GTTGTTCCCAAGAGGAAGCGGCAACATCGCTCACATCTCCAGGTCTTGTACTGAGTTAACATGCAGCCACATCAAGGTTGCAGGGCTAAATAAATCATGGAAATACCTTATCTCAATAATTTCCCCCTCCACCCCTTTTTCATCCCCGCTGTTATTTCCACAGGGAGAAGATAATTTCACTTACTGTCCAGCAACAGGCCTAGCTGTCGGAAACGAGCACTCGGAATTTGCTGGCTGGGCATTTCTATTTCCAGGGGTGTTTTTGACAGAGGAGTTCATTAGTGAAGATGAAGAATCTGAGATAGTTGAACTGATGGATCAAGATGACTGGAAACCATCACAGTCTGGCCGAAAGAAACAGGTTTGATTTTAGAAGTGCATTTGTCCTCTGGAAAAGGAGAGCTGCTTTCACAGTTAAACCCCTAAACATTTACATGTTTTATTAAATGCTTTCTTTTGGAAGCCTTTCCTGGGATCAATTGCTAGACTCGTAATTAAAATCAACTTCTTGCAAAAGTGTCTGTATGATAACTATGATTAATGGCACCTGCTGGTGCATGTGCAGGCACTAAAAATCATGCAATATCAGAGTGGGACAAGTGTTTTTCTTTACAGATGAGAAATCTAATCCAAAGAGATTAATGCAACTTGACTGAGTCATTTTGTAAACTGGTAACTACGTCATCGGAAAATTTGAGAGCAGAACTCTCATTAAAAGTCTTGACCATCATCCCTGTAGAGGTCACAACCTCTTCGGAGAGGCTTGTCCCACATTTTCCCCATAACATTAGCTTTTCTCCTTTTCTTTTCCAACAGGACTATGGACCCAAAGTGAACTTTAAGAAGCAGAGGCTGAAAGCTGGTAGCTTTATCGGTTTGCCAAGTTTTAGTAAAAAGATTGTGACACAAATGAAGGACTACTCTGTGCTAAACGGTTTCTTACCTGTTGAACAATGTAATCTGGACTACATGCCAGAAAGAGGTTCTGCCATTGACCCACATTTTGATGACTGGTGGCTTTGGGGAGAGCGTCTAGTTAGCTTAAACTTGCTCTCAAAAACTGTGCTGTCTATGTCTTGTGATTCAGAGGACGGCATCCAATTATTTCCGTTGTTCCGTAAAGAAAAGGGGGAATTAAGTCCCCCTGGATCTCTTACACAGGCATCAGCATGCGAAGATTCAGGCAAACAGAGAATTAACTGCACTTCATCCCCAAGGCTTGTTCCAAGTAAAGAAGTGACTGTTGCCATTCACTTACCCAGAAGGTCCCTGGTGGTACTGTACGGTGACGCACGTTACAAGTGGAAACATGCAATTTACCGCAAGCATATAGAGCATCGCCGAATCTGTGTCACGTTCAGGGAGCTGTCTGCAGAGTTCAGCACTGGAGGAAGGCATGAGGAACTGGGTAAAGAACTGCTGAAAATAGCTCTTTCATTTAAAGGAAGACCAGTGTGATCAACAAGAGGAAGTTGGAAGTGCATTTTGTCAACATATTTGAAAAATAAAGTACAGAATTTTTACAACTTGATGTGTTTCTGAAGTATGCGTAAGGAACCAGGTATGAACAGACGTAAGCTTAATCAAATGGAAGTTTAACATATAAGAAGGTGAAAGGAAAGGTTTGTTTCTTTGAAGACTCTCCTGGGCAATGGTAGCTCTTAAGCAAAAGTCAAAAATTAGCTGTGGTATTCATTAGCTATATTGTAACAAAATGCAAAAAAGCAAATAGCCGATTTTAAAATACTTCCGTGAAACCAAGAAATAAACTTAAGATCATTAAACTGATCTGAGTAAAGCACCCCTTTGCACTGCTGATTCAACCCAAGTCCTGGAGCGGATTCTAACCTCTCTTGGCCCGTACTCAGTTCTGTCACACTGCTTTTAGAGCTGCGCTGTGCCTCAGGGACACAACTGTCTTCTCACCCACTTCAGATAGCTCCTTTAGAGATCAGTCCTCCAGGGGAGGAAGGTAAACAAGCATCTCCCCACAGATAATACAACACACAGAACTAATTAAAATAATTATCCTTTGCTAAAGATTCATGCTGTAACAGAGAGGATTCATCATAGTTATAGTGTGTGACCTATATCTTCCAGGATCAAAGAGCAGTATTTGCAGAGGGCCAGTATAGACTCTTTTGTGGAGACAGCTCAGACAGGTCATTTGTCATCCCTGAACTCTGCTGCCAGCTCTCAGTAGCAAGAGTCTGATTATAAGAAACTGGGAGATGGAACTGCAACTCTGAGGGCTATCATTTTTTTCTCGGCACCTCCAACAATCAGGTTTGTGTCATACCTTGTACCTAAGAGTCAAGGAGTTGGCTGTAGCAGAAGCTGCTCCGAACAAACTTCTGGGCTCTTGACAAATAAGGTATGCCATGGAAAAGATGTGATTCTTTAATAAACACAGTTGTGTCATCAAAACCATTCAACATAGTTACACCCACAGTAATAAAACAATACTTAACGATGCTGGCTGGTTTTGGTCAGTAAGAAAAGAGGGCACATTTACTACATGGGATTTCAGCATTCCTATATCGCTATAACCTGTTCTAGAAGTACTTCTTGGCACACTGCACAAGTTTCAATGTACAGTAGTGCACTCATACTGTAGACACTGCCCTCTGCTTCAGGCATTGCGGGGAGGGAGCTCTTCAGCCCAGTGAAACTAACAGTTACTAGAAAAGCCTTGAATCAATATTTCTAAATCAGTTTAAGTCACCAGATACAACTACACTGCTCCATGGTCGCACTTTACCCCAATATTTAACCAGAAATGGACAGCAGCTACATAATAACTCCTACAGGGATCAGCAAGGGCCACTCCCACCGGCAGACCTAAGGCTCCAGCAGCAGGCAAAGCACGCCCTCTCCGACTGAAAACCGTCACTCCAAAGAGAGCCAGTCGAAACTTGCTCGCAGCTAGTTTGCTCGCAGCTAGTATGCTCACAAGCTTTATGAGGAAGACTTTTCCTGCAGGCTACAGCCTCTTCTGCTCACTCCCAAAAGCAGAGCCGAGTAACCTGTGCTCTTAAAATAATGGTTCCCAACCTTTTCTGGTAGGCCTAGCGTCATCTTCATCATACTGCTGGTCCCCATGGGCTCAGACAGCGGGTAAGAGTGCTCTATCCCAAGGTCAGCGTTGGGCGTCCCGATCTTGGGTGCGTTGCTTCCATCAGATCTGAGCACCTTCAGCCGAGTAGGACAAGTGTTGGCAGCCGGCCAGAGCCCAAGACAAAAGCCACATTAAGCGAGGAAAGACAGAGTGGACTTTCACAGATGTATTCTCTTCTTAACAGTATTTAGCCTCTTCAGTAATCTGCTCTTAGCTTAGCCAACTGCATCAATAAAGCATTTCTTTTAGCATTTGGCCCTTATTTCCAATACTCTCTTTTTCATTTATATTGTGTTCTCAGTCTGTTAAGATATGTTCCGTGTGCATACCCGTTCCATTCCGCAATGAGAGCAAATGATGGCTTCCTTATGAATCAGAGCACCACAATAACAAGATAAACAATATTAGCTCATACTGTGCTCTGCATTTATTAGCTGAATTCTTCTGCCTTGTTCAAACTATAGTGAAAGCTGCTGTTCCAGCCAGAAAATTTCAACTTTTCCTAGCTGGTATCTTAAATTGTTTTAAAAACAAAAAAAAACCCAAAACACTAGACTAAGCCCTCAGCTTTTGGCTCATAGTATACTTTTTCATTTAAAAAAACAGTGTCCAAAACTTTATAGTCACTACTCAGTCATTATTATGTCTAGCTTCTGACATTTTTCACCTATTAAATAGCATCTTGGGCATCTTCTTAAAGAGTTCAAAATGGCATCAATAACACACCTAGCAGCTCTGTATTACTTTATAAAACTTTATGTACATTCTCTCCTTAAAAAGTCAGAATTGCAGCATTATAGAACATTAACAATTGGTCTGGCTTATCAAGTATCACAGAAAACTGAGGAAAGTATAAAGAGGTTTTAATCTCAACTAATTAGCTGTCAAAAATAATTTTAGCTACTATGCTAATATCATTCATGTAAGACCAACTTCAATGGTTTTCATGTTATAGTATTTCCTATTGCAGCTCTTTATCACCTTAACCGTGATTAGCACTTGTAGAACATGTTTCAAGAATCAGGCCTTAATTAAAAGCAAGTGCATCAAATTGATGTTTACTCATATGCTTTAAAAAGAGAAGGGTAATATCAGACCAAGCTACACAAGAAAACAAAAGAAAAAAAACACCCCACAGTTAACCCACAGAGCATGCTGGAGGACTTGAGCTGCCTTTCAAAAAAAATCAGTCTGAAATCAGCAAGAAATGTAAAACTTTGCATGTTTATCCACTTTCATTCACACAGCTAGACAACAACTGAGATTGTATTATTCTACAAGTATTATTCTACATAAAATATTGTTCATGCATAGATAAAAACAAGAATAGGCAAAGTTTAAAACACAGAGGCTTTTCTTCTCCTGGCACTTAACTGAATCAACATCCCACTCAGTATCGGTCACTTAACAACCCTGGGAAAGAGGCAAGCCCGAATTGTACATACAGGTAAGTATTCATAGGAATGTTTTTCAAATTCAATCAGCAAATAATTACCGAAACCACTTTCTTGTTTAAGAAAAGGTACAGAGGAGACAGCGCGTGAGAAGATAATCAGAGAGCGAACAGGCTGGCGCAGTTGTGCCGGGATCGGAATTTGAGGTTGTGGCCCGTTGGCGGGGGTTTACAGAGGAAGCAGTCTGAAGGTAGAAAAAAAACGAGGGGTAGAAGAGAAAGCTATAACAGCAGGGAATCTTGAGGGCTATTTGTTTTTTAAAAGAAGGGAAAGAACAGAAAGGATGATATGAAATCCCAAACAGGAACCGTGAGCGCAAGCCACGTGATGCTGGCTCGCCCCGGTCACAGCAGCAGCCTGCCCACGCGGCGAGCTGCACATGGCAACCTTCTGCCTGGCCTGGAGTCCCAAAGTCGAGAAATGGAAGGATTTTTAGCGCTGCGGCTGCACCCTGTCCACTAGCTTTCTATAAACACTTCCACATATTTGAGCACTTACAGCACAGGCGCCCCACCCGGGGCTCTTGCACAATATCACTTTCATCTGTCACGCGGCTCAGGCCCAGCTTGTCAAATCTAACATCTATTCCATCTCCTCCTGCGATAAGCTCTCCCGTAAGTCATATATCCACCGACACAACAGGGACAGGTGAGGAGAGATAGGCCTGCCCCAGAGCTACGTTAAAAATAGGGAGCTCGCAAAATAAGAGCTGCCGCTACCCGCAGCCAAAGAGAGAACCCGATACTGCTCCCGGGCGCCGTCAGCTCCTCGTGCTCGCTGTCAGGCCCAGTCTTGACTCCTGCTAACGACGGGAGGAGAGAGGAGTCACCTCGTAAAGCAAGGAGGTGCCCGGGAACGAGAAGCAGCAGGACTGGATCACGATGCTGGAGAGCTTCGTCCCCTCTTTAGGGAAGGCAGGCAGCAGCCGGTCGAGGAACCCTTCCAGGGCTGGAGTTGGTAGTGGGACGCTTTCTGCTAGGGAAAAGCTGCCCAAACAGAACTAGAGAAAAGGAGGACTCAAGACTCCAGAGCAAGACAGTGGCTGTTCCCTCCAGCAAGCCCAGGCTGGAGCCCAGGGCCTGGCTGAGCCCCACTGAATAAGCAGGGAATGGCTTTAACAAGGCAAGAACTGGCCAGGAGACTCCCAGCCCAAGGGAGCTGAAAGTTAGGGCAACACTCACCCCCTAGTACAAGCACCCCAGGCCCCAAGACGGTACAGAAAGCCAACAAACCCACGGGGACAGAGCCTAGCCAAGCCCCAGCCGGAGGGCGAGACCCTCAGGAGAAGCATCTCCATGCAAGCAAGGAAGGAACCGGCACATCGGCAAACGGAGCTGCACAAAACCCCACGAGCCCAAGGAACGGCAGCGATGTTACAGCACAGGACGCTCGCGGCCAGGCACCAGCCAACAAGCAAGGACGCGATGCGGCACACTGCCAGGCCTTGGGACACGAGCAGCAGGGCAGATAGAAAAGCATCTCCATGCTTCACTGATGGGAATCCTGCTGACAGCCACGGGGGTAGCGGCAGAAGCAAGGAGGATTTTCTGGCACTGCAGCATAGAAACAACTGTCTGCACAAGCGCAGCGTCCCTGCTCCGTTATGGATGAATTCCCATTTCCGTTGCTCACCGATCCCACAGACAATCTTTCTGCAACACAAGTCTGGACCCAAACAGTGGTGGAGATGTAAACAAGATCGAGGAAGAGAGGCAGAAGCAAGAAAAGACAGCGCTATTCTTGGGAAAGATGAGTAAGAGGAGTTACAGTGAGAAGGTGATGGGTAGACTAGAAAGATCCCCGATGCCAGAGCCAAAGAGCAAAAATACTCCCATGGACTTTCGAAGGAAAGGAGAACTCAGCACCCAGAGAGACACTATAAACAGCTGTGAACAAAAGCAGGGAGAAAAAGGGCATGATTATGCAGTTTTAAGTGCATTCCCCCTTGGGAAAACATCTCAAGCCGTAGCCCTAACTCCTCGCTGGAGTAAGGCAATCCCTCTCCAGTCACAGATCTGCTGCCTTGAGACTATCTTGCATTTGACCCCAACAAAGCCTTACCAAGTTAGTCTAGAAAAATCAAAGCACAGCTCCTACCGCATTTCTCCATTTGCTGAAGTTTATTATATTTGCAGTGAATTAAGTGAACAATTTGGCTGTTTCCAAGTGAGCTGCATTGTTTTCACAGCACTGCATGTGCACTGTGAAACTTGTTTTTTTTTGTTTTTTAAACTACAAAAAACAGCTCAATACTTTCTCTACAACTGATTTCAAACCTCCTGGGCTCCACAGCACCCACAGGTAGTCCTATTATTGCTGATGTGATAGGAGAGTACAAAGTATAGACAAGAGATTCACCCTACCTGGTCTGGCTCTGGCCTCACAATAGAGATTTTGTTGGTATAGAAGCCTACGTTTGTAATACTTGGCAGAAAACTCAACTCTGATTTTATTATATAAACCTTTAATTTTTATTGTGGTAAAAAAGAAACAGGAGGGAGAAAGGGCAGATTGCTGGGGCCACCAAATGAATTTTATGACCACCCACTTCCTGGACAACACTCATTTTTTGTATACGAGCACAAGCAGTACAGACTAGGCATTCAGCGCTCACAAACTCTTCTCTTTGCTGCAGATTGGCCAATATGGTACATGCCAGCTGAGGCAAGACCAACAGATGACAGCCACAGACACGGCTCTAAGCAACTTGTTCAGCAATGATCAAACTCGCAGGTAAACAAGAGAGATTAGAGGTGAGTTCCCAAGGCTCTCCTCAGAGGGGAACACAGGGAGAGTCTTTCCTGTGGCACTGGGAGTTACATGCACTCTGGGAAGCTGACATGTAATATACTGACATTAGATTTCTTAAATCCCCGTGGAATAAAGGACTAGGGTTAAACCGAGCATTGCAAACATCCTTAATGGTTTTCGAAACCTGTAAGGCCTGAGAGTCTGTACAACTGTGATGTTCAAGTGCAGAGCAGGGCCAAGAAAACGTGCTTACGTGTCTTTCAGTGCTACATGTCGGAAAGCCATACCTTTCCTTCAAAGAGCTGATGGTTGCAAAACACTTTTCCCTCCATAAAGTTACCATAAATCATAAAGTCATTTTTACAGAAGTTTTCACTGAAAAGGATGCTAGTAAAATTTACAAACTTTCCTTGCTAAGCGATGCAGACATGCAAGTGTCATTTTCTCTGCTGCTGAAAAAAGCCAGCTCAAATGCAATGTGATATCTCTTTAATGGCATACAGCTCTCCCCCTGGCTCCAGCTCCATCAGACTTATCGTTACAACTCCAGGTTCCACCAGAGGAATTGTTCGCTTTGGTGGGGGAGAAGGAAACGTTCGTTTTCTGCAGGCTAGGCTAATGCTACAACTGACAGTCAAAACTGACAAAATATACAGGGTCGGGGCTTGTTTTCTCCAGCAAACCAGGCTAGCAAGAGACATTGCAACAGTACATAAACGAAGACGACCTAGCAACAGATTTCCAGAGCATGCTATGTGCTATTACTCCTTACCTCCTTGAAACTTGCTTTTTTCTAGTCCTTCAAAGTTCTATGTCTCATTAAATTCCTTGCCACTGTTCTGTTTTAAGAATGTCCTCGTTAAAATGAAAACACCTGTAAGCCTTCCCTGGGTACTCTTGCCTCGTACTGGAAAGATCACACGATCTTGGCATGCATTCAACCTAAGATGACAAATGCTGTTGAGGCAAGTAAGACAGAGCTTCCCAGCCTCCTGTAATTTGAAATTCTACCTCCCCAGCTGCAAAAATATAGTAAGGATTAGCAAGAAAAGAAAAAGAAAAGAAAAGCTAAGGCTGATTTCTTTCTGGTTTCCTATTTCTGGAACACCCGTTTCAGAACAAAGACGATGAACGCTCACAGTTTCTATTGTGCTTTCTTGGATGTCCCCAAGTCGACTGCAGATACCATCCTTAACCAGCTCAGCTCTAGAAACAAGCTGCCAGTTAAGTGCTGCTGCACTGACAGGCAGGGAGGTCTGACACACAAGACAGGTCCTACACACACACTGGCTTTTTAGACAGCTAATGCAGTTTTACGCTTGGCAACAAAACGTTGCATTTGTAAAAAATACAGATATTTGGCTACTTGTACCAACGTTAAGGTAGATAAAGTTTTGGCCTTTGACTCCATGGCAGTGTCTATTCAAATATAGAAGTGTGTAGGACCAGAAAAAGGCCAGAGACCACAGCATCTGAAACAGCACTAGAACCCACAGCTACATATGGCAGGCAATTAGCATTTAGATAGTTAAGCCTCAAAACAATCCCTCATTGGTGTGTCTCGTCAACTAGCAAACAGGTATTTTGCTCTTAGCCTCAGCTAAGCAGATTTGCTGGCAGCAGCCCTCTGCCTCTCTGTCACACTACCTGCATGCCTCTGTCATGCCCGTCTAACTGCACTTTCAGTTTGTGAAGCTCTTCAATCTCCCGGTTGTGGCGCTCCGTTTTGTGCCGCACCAAAGACCGGTAGAAGTGAATGGTGAAGACAACAAAGATCAGACCCACTGGGACCATGATGATGGTAGAGACCAGGGCTGCCTGCCAACCCGCGTGGCCACTGGGCTTCTGGATGATGGTGGTCTCATTTTTCAGGATGGAGTCCACAGGCAGAAATTTTATCCAGCACAAAAGCACAACTTCCGCAAGGAAAAGGAGGATTCCCAAGACTGTGGAGAAGCCCCACGCCAGCTCTATGTAGGGATGCATGCGCTCATGTGGGGATTCGCTGATGGAGTTCAGGTTGTGGATGTTGCTCACTGCTTCCACGTTGGGCAGAATGCAGGTGCTGATGAGCAAGGCAAAGAGATGAACGGCCACCAGCACTGTTGTGCAGGCACTGAAAGCGATCAGCAGCATCTGAGGGTACTGGTACTGCATTTCCAACTGCACCTCCACCATGGCAACCTGTGGGGAAAGGAACAATAAAACAAGAACAACAAAAACCAACTGTTAACAGCTGCTATTTTTCCTATTTTCCTCTTTGCAAGGCTTTCATCCAGGAAAGCATCTTTATTAAGGAAAAGTGCCTAAGGTTAGGTACACGCTTAAATGCTTTTAGAATGGTAGCCTAATCATTCCCGTTTCCCATGAAGACGTACACACAGTCCGCAGCTTGGCCTTTCCTCAAGGCTTATGTGCATATTTCTGCACTGTAGTTTTCTGAAATAACAGCTCTCTCCTTGCAACCATGAGCCATACGAACTGCATCAAGCCAAGCACGCAACAGAAGGAACCCATTAGGCAACAAGTGTAGCTTGGAGGCAGCTGACAGCCTGCGAGCCCTCCCGCCCATCACACCTTCCTCTTCTGCTCACCACTAGCAGTTGCAATACAGGAAGTTTCAACTTGAGCGTAAAGAAACTCAACTTGAGCATGAAGAAAAGCAAAAGCAGCAGCCCTTCTGGCCAGCTGCCAGAAAGGTTACACTACCTCCCAGGGGAGGCATGCAAGTGTCTTTATAGCTTAACTTATTCCATAGTTAAAATAGCTGCCTTCTATTCTTGGAACATCTTAAGTCCTTTTTATTACAAATATGTCCAGATACAAGTTATTTATAGCCCAGAATTTCTCCCTTGAGATCTAATACCTTACTGATATGTTCAACAGAAGTGGGCAGTTACTGGTTTATGGATACGTTCAACAACTCCACTAAATAGCTTTTGTTTCCAGAAAATAAGACTCATCTCAAGTAAGTCACTAAAGCTTTCATTTTGTACACACAGTGTGGATTTTTTTTTTTTAAATCAATTAAAACTTAACAAACAGAGTAAGTGCAAGAGAGCAAGGAACCCTACTGACATGAGAACAGGAGTACTTGTACTCCTGAACAGGTTTGAAACTGGTTTAGTATAAGAAATTGGAAAATGATTTAACCTATTCATGAAGTAAAATAGTTAACATAAGTACTTTCTGGGCTAGGTTGTGAAGTGTCACCCCTCAAAGGACTGCAAAAACCCTCTGCTAAGAGAGGCTACAAATACAGTTGACAAGAACATCACACATTGCCCTCTACTAGCTCTCCAGTGGCTTGCTGGAATCTGCAGCTGCACTTAGTGATTTGCACAGACAGTAAAATAAAGGCTGTCAACAGGCAAAACCTTCGGCGATCCCAGACAACTTGCTGTTCTAGTGCAGCAAAGCTTCCCATGTGTTAAGGAAAGGGGAAGCTGATGTTTGCACACCTGCCTCAGGCCAGCTCCTCTCAAGACCATCATGAGAAGTAAAGTCAGAACAAAGAGCTTGATTCTGGGGGGCAGAGATGGATTTTGCAGAACAGAAACATCATTACTTTACCCGAGACCAGGATCCGATCTTTAAACGAGACCAGTGCTGCGCAGCCATTTCAGGCTCTGTACAATAATCTGCATCACTCAGTCTGGCATTGCTTGTTGATAACATTTAGGCACTGGACAACAGGGGATATGCTAGTGTTCTCACTGTTGGTAGCTCCGAAGAGGTTTAGAAAAGGAAGGAGCCAGTGCCCGTGTTAGCATGACTGCCATCTTATCTACGCTTAACTGTGCGACCACCAGCAGCCTGAACGACGGTATCACAGTCAAGTCTGGGCAACCAACACCTAACGTTTAGGTGGCAAGCAGTCAGTCCCTGCATTCTAGATTTTATACCTGCATCAGCCCTTTAGGATATTAGAGACATCAAAAGTGTAAGCATACAGTTCTTGGACACTCTCTGCCTTTTGTTTGGGTTATGAAGTTTTTTGTAGGGTTCTTGCGTGCACTTTAGAGCAGTTTGCGTCACGTAGCGGAGAAGTAAACGTAGGATCGGCTTCATTGTCCATCGCCAGCAAGGCCCGTTAATCGAAACGTACGCCGCGCTGCCTTGCCTACGTTCTCTTTGCAGTTCCCCCTGTACTGATTCAAGAAGATGAGACTTACTCTGCTGTCCTGTTCTGTACGGTATATGTTTGTACAGGGCTGTGACTGTCAGTCACACCGTATCAGACAGGAAAAGCTACAGGTATACCATTCACTACTAGGTGCTGTAATACCCAGAGACCTAGCATTCAGCAAGCTGAACAGGAATTCTACCTGCATGTTCAATTTATAGCTTTATATTAAAGCTGAAAGCCTGGCTGATGTCAACATATCAATTTCTACTTGTTATCCTTCACATGAGCAGCAGTTTTCGGCTAATTGGATGTTTCCTCCCAGACTAACCTATTCCCTAGGGCTAGCTTTAGCTGTGCAATGTGATGAATTTTTAACGCTGACTGATGGCTCAGTAAGAGGTATTTCAGGGAAAAACATCAACAATCCAGACAGGGCAGCAAGGCAGAAAAGCAGTTCATTTAAGCAAAACAGGTACTGGAAAGGTGAGTGAGCTCTTACTGCTTTACCCTGTACAGACTGTCATGTCATTCTCTGACCGGGATAAGAGAAAGAGGACAAGCTGACATAACCTATTTAAAAATCATTAAATATGCTGCTTAGCCTGTAAAACTATTAATATGTCATGTTTGATACAATTATACTCTTTTGTGATAACAGACCCTTTTATTTTAACCTGTTCCCAGAAGCCAAGATATTAAGGGCTTGACTTTGCAAGGCACTAAGGCACTCTGCTGAGGAGGAGACTATTTCAGCATAGACTTAATTTTAAGCTGGAGAATTGCACTGTTGACCTCAACACTCACAGGTCTGCTAATGAGTCATTTGCTCAGGACACTTTAGAATTAAACTGCAATTAAATTGCATGCGATTATATATATATATATTTTTTTTTTTTCAGATCAGAATAGTCCCCAGATTGTCCACAACAAAGATGATGCTCATCTTGAGAAGTTTAGACCAGGATTGATAATATCAGGCAAGAGGATGACAAATGGCTTAACATAAAACATTACATTCACACAGATGGTTTGGCAGCCTGTAATAAATATCAGTCCAGTCAATCTGTTGGATTTTTTCTTTTCTTTTTTTTTTTTAAATATCAAACATGCATATCCTGTGGCATTTGGACAAATGCTGAGAAGGCTGGTGCGCAGTAATAGCTTTTAACCCCACCAGGAAAATGATTAAGGAGGTTTAATGAAGCTCTAAAATAAATTGAATACTTCTGAAAAATATTAAACTACGAGTTAGGAACTTATCTCCCTCATCTGCCATCTTCCCAGGGCAAACCCAACAGGCACAGAGACCCTACCCACCTCCAGACAGACCTGGAACTGGAACGCAACCACATCCTTCTGATCTGCCCATCTCCCTGCCAGAAGTACCAAAGATAGCATCAAATAATGAGGAAGGTTTGTATTATTCTACAGCCTGTCCAGAAGGAGCTGGATCAAAGCCACTGCCTGTTGATTAAATAGCCATCAGCTAGTAATAATTTTCAGCCAATATGGAACTGGCTTGACTCAAACACATTGGCAGGGAGGTAAATAAAGCACTAGCCAAGCCCCGTAAAACATTTGTTGACATAGTTACATGCACATAAGACTTCAGAGGAACTATTTAGCTCTAAATAACTGCTCTACTTTCATCAGTAGCCACACAGATGCTCTTATTAGAGCAAAGTAAACATCTGCTTACTAAGTACCTGCCTATCAAAATACCAGGGAAGAACAAGTAGCAATGGAGAGACAGATCAGCTTTTACTGGACAGCCCAATATGATCAGCTGGGGAAAAGTTTATTAATAAACAGAATGCCAGCATTGCAAAAGTTTCATTTCTGAGGATCACCAATTCCAGGTGTACTTAATATGTTAAGCTGGTGATCTAAAATTACCATTACTTGCAACTATTGCGTTGATTTGATTTGATTTTTAAACAGTTTAAGAGGAAATCAGCAGCAGTCCCTGGCACCAGCTCTGGGGTCCACTACAGTCAGACTGAAAAACCCAATGGTAAAGGAATCCTTTAACAACTGATCAAGTAATCCCAAGTAAAACGGATAACCTTAGCCCATGGTTACACGTGTCATAAACAGAAGATACATGGTTTAGTTTCCACCTTTGCTGACAACGTTCAGTTACTTTCTGCCCTGCCAGTCGAGAACAAGTGCTTTGTTTTCAGATACACGGTTTGAGCCCTGCAAGGTGGGTAAGCTCCAAGCTTTTGTGGCATCCTGCGGCTGCCAGCAACAACACACCCAGGCATGGACACTCGCTCGCCTAATCAGGCTGCCTAGGTATATCGAAGTTCACAGCCCTATACAATTCTCCCTACATTCATTTATTAATCATGCTAAAAGAGGACAACCACAAATAATTAGCACAGAATTCAAGTAACCTAGAGGCACAAACAGCCAAGATTTAAACTGCTATTTGGAATAAGAAAGCTTGCAAGTCTGAAAGAACTTTCAGGAGAACACTCAACCTTTTCAAAATGAGAAGGTACCTTCTGCCTGTTTTAGCACATAAATTTGGTTACAAACCAACATATGTCGCACAAAATGTTTTACAAGCATCCCATGCACACAGTCAGCGAGGAAAGAGGAATCACAATGGAACCAAACACCCTTTCTCTCTTGTAGACTGCCACTGCTTAACTCCCTGCTCACGTTTCTGCAACTTCTGTCCCAAAAACATGCTTGTCACCCAAAACAGAATTCACCGTCATAACGTTATAGACAATTCACGTTCAGGATGAGGAGAACAAGAGCAAAAGAGCTTTACTGTTTTATTTCAGCTCTATCTGAAAAGTTCCCAAGATCTCTCTCTCCCCCAATGCTCCTAAGCTTCAGCATATAACCCCTTCACATCATCTCCCGCTCTCACACCCTGCCCTCTGCAAGCGCGCACTCAGCAGCCAGACCTCAGAAACACCACATCTGCCCATTTCCTGAGTGGAAAACCTCCCTGAAACAGATTTAAATTCTCACTCTCAATATGCAAGCACCAGAGGGAAGGTCAGAAAGTTCATCCTGTCACAGCATGTCAGTGTTTTGCCAATGCCACAGTTAAGACAGGCTTGAACACAGGACTGCTGATGGTCCATGCTGTGTATTTGCTTGCTCCCTGACATGGTTTTGACCTATGCAAATAGCTTCCAGATAACACCCAAGTGCCGCACAGAGGAAAGCAAGTACTAAGGATCATTCCAAATAAGCAGCACTAACAAAAATATACCAGGTTTGGCTCCCTTGAGGCTCCACAGTCCTCTCAACACCAGCCCTGTTGTCCGAGTGTGCAGAGCCTCTCGCACAGGTGCTCATAATGCCCCAGAATAACACAACCATCTCTCAGTTCATGCTATGCAAACTGCTCTGGCAGACCATGACCCAAACTCCACCTTATTTTAAGGCACTGTAGCCTGAAAAAATGCATACAAAAATTAAGATAATATTTAGGACTACCACCACCACAGGGCCCAGAGGAGCTCTACGACCAAGGGGAACCTCATGCGAAGGTAGCCAGTGACATTTGGCCTCAGGGCCAAAGGAGAGCCCAGGTCCTACTTGTTTCGCAATACTGATGCGACGCTTAGGACCATTGGCAGGTAAGGGACCAGTATTTTACAGGGCTGATTTGGGAGCACGTGGCCTTGATTGTTAGGCAGCTCACGTATTCATGCTGCTCTGAGAGAGACAACCTCAAACTTTTCAACAGCAGCCAAACAGAAACCCACAGGCAGATGCCTCCTACCCCTTCAGGAAATAACAGTACATCCTCCCTCAGAGGAAGGAAACAGCACTGATTAATTGATGATTTTACGGAACCCAAACTTACACAATCCAAAAAGTGTTTTCCGTGAAATAAACGTACCATTGCAAACCCGGAGAGCAGAGCAGAGGTTCTGCTGGAAGCTTTGAGTTTGGCTCGGCTCAGGTACAATTTTCTCCATGAAAGGGCCTGAACGGAGTGGTGATTTGATGTGACCAATTCCAGATAGCTGCGGCGGACCCAGTCCCGATAATCCATGCCTTTTGTGCCAGGTTCAGAGCAGCAAGCAGGAGTGGAAGGATCCACCGGAACATTTAATTCAGAACTCATGATGAAAGAGACGCTAAGGAAATAAAACAGTCATATTCAAAAGGGGGTAGCAGGAAGAACAAGTATCAGCTACTGGTATACAAGAGACTGTAGGACTAATCTAGTGAATGGATAGGACGGAAAGAGAAAACTGTGGTTAAACAAAGTTACCCTCAGTCAGCAGATAAAAGATGAACCACAACATATTGACTTGAAACATGCAAAACAGGCAAAGGATCTTCTGTAATTGCTAAAAATGACCATGAGAACTAGAAAAGATTCCACAAGCAAGCCTGGAAACTATTCCAGTATGAATTCAGGAAGGTTGCACAGTATGACTTTACATTCCAAAGCTGGCAACGGCTTAAATCTCAACTTTCCCCTTTAATGCCCCAAAATACTTACCCTTCTTCCCCATAATATTTTTTTTTTTTTTTTGCATAAAGACATTCTGAAAATCGGGCTCCTCATCTTATCATTTTGTTTTAAGCTGACAGTTTAATTCCACACTGTATCATGGATCAGGTCCAATGCATCTTATTAGAGTACCAAAGTAACTCCAGCAAACAGGTTTAGGGACTCACTTTTCACTTTTTTTAACTTCAAAATCAGGGTTTTCAATTAAACCACCACTCATCATAGTTGAGTTCAGACAGGCACAGTTCTACCCCAAGACTGGACACAGTCATACAGCTGAACGCTGCTGCGTAGGGTCAACAAACAAATTTGCTGAGCTCCCGCAGTGAAAAGCTACATTTCCTAAACCACTCACGCCCATACTCCACTTATCAGCCTCATCTGACCACTAATCGCTCTCCATTGCTTCCATCAGTGCCTTTTCCCACGGGGGAAAGAAAAACACAACTCCAAGGGGAAAAGCAGGCTTCCTTCCAGGGAGTTTCAGTGTCCTCAGATTCAACAGACTACACTGAAAAGATGTGAGAAAGCAGCAAGACAGTATCAGGCGGTTAATGCCATAGTTGTCAGTACAGATAAGTTCTAGATCCAAACCAACCCCCCCTCCCTTACACCACAACTTAGTCACACGGTTGCCTGAAGGGCTCCCGTTATCTCACTGTCATCCACAGACACAGAACAGAATTCGCAGTACATTTTGAGAAAGAATTTGTTAACTCTGACAAACATCTCAAACCGACAACCCAATTCCCAGTCTGCTGAAAAACGGAAACGGTGATTTTCCGATTAGTCCTCACACCCACAAGTCTACCACTGACCTCCCTGGCAGCGACAGGTAGCAACGCCAGTCGCATCACGTGGGACCTTTAGGGCTATAAATACTTACCAGCTCCTAGAAGGAGTAGATGAATGCAGAGAGTCACGCATGGGGTAGTACTAATTAGTCTCAGCACCACACTTCGAGGTCACAAGCACCTTGCTGTTCGTTTGACACGAGCCCGACGCCTGCCTGCATCCCCCGTGCTCCACTCAGCTCTCCATATACGCAGGCCATATGGCAACAGAGAGGACAACTAATAAACCAATGTTTGCTGCGAATTTTGAGGAAGTGGCAAAGATAAAAGGGCACCGACTGCCCACAACTTCAAACGTTATTTTTAAAAAGGAACGAAGCTGCTCCAGGCACAGTAACCAAGATAAGACTGCAGCAGCAACTAAAGGAAAGCATCACAGGTTGTAAGATTTTTGCCCTTCTCAAGCACTGCTCTTCCACGAGCTTTCAGATTTTGACCCCCTCAGACATAAGGATGAGAGCGAGAGCTCAAGACCACTCTTCTAGGCAGTTTTTGACATTACAAAATCATTACAGCCCCTGCAATCCTCCAGTAGGACTCCTGAATCACTGAGAAACTGAGAGTCGTCAAATTACTTGGAGTGCGGGGTGGGTGGGAAAGTAAAAGACAAAAGTTGTTTATAAAAACATCCCAAGGATCACAAAAATAAAAAACAGAACACAGCAACAGAGAGAAACCTCCCTGCTTGCTTTGCATTTCCAGAAAAGGCAAGAATTGCCTATTTTTCAGGGGGAGAGAAAAAAAAAAAAAAATCCATCCCCAGGCCAGCAGCAGGGAACGGAGCAGAAGCACCCTGTGAGCAGCAAGATTATGAAGCTCTGTTTCCTGTGACAACATCCTGTGTGGATTCTCCGATGCCTAGTGCGGGGTGAACTTATTAGCCTTGTCCTTTGTCGGGACACTGAGGGCCTCTATGCTGCCATTTATTTTCACAAAACGTGTAGGAACTTAGCATTTTTGAAACATCAACGCCTTGGACAAATTCCACTGAAAAGGCAAATGGGTTCAGAAGCTCCAGAGGGAGAGTGAGAGCACCCAATCACATCTGCTTGTTTCCTTTGGAAAATAAGCCAGAAATACCACAAGGATGAACTTTCACCCTGGAGCAGCTCAAGGGATGTTCCCAAAGAAGTAAACAGAACTTCAGAACAAAATCCATAAACACAAATTTAGCCCAAGAAAGCAATAGCACGGGACAGACTCACCTTGCTGGCTACAGACATGGGGGGACTGGGTGGAGGGCTTCGAGGGCTGAAACACAACATCAAAGAAAGGTTTCACATGCACAGTTACCTTAAGCAGCTTTACTCCAGAAGTACTCCTTAGCCAGGTGCCTGCATCAGGGAGAGAGATTCTGGGTATTTCATGCCCTGACTTGCAGTTTTAGAGCTCTGGACACTGGCTCTTACAGAAATATGAACTTTCCTACAGGAATCTCTAAATCTTACTGCACAGCATCAGCGCAGGGCTGTTGAGTTTTGGGCTGAGAGTCAGGACTTTCCCAGGAGACCTCTTCCTCAGCCTAATAGCCAGCTCTGGCTGCTCGTCCCAGCTGTGTCTTTGCTCACTTCCGTTACAGCACCCATATGTTTGGCCCCACTTCATTTCATGCCACGGAAGAAGGAAACCTCCCTGCGAGTGCTACCTACTATTGATTTTGCTACTCTGTCTGGCGCTGGCCATCACAGCAGCGAGCAGAAAAGGGAAAGGCTTTGCCACACCCTAGCTCTCAGCTACTTCTGCACAGATGCAAGCGCACGTGCAGGGATTTCTTCACGGCACGCAGCAAAGCAATCGCCCGGGCTGAGCTACGCGGCTCCCTCTCCCACCTCCAGCATCTCCAGACGCCTCAGCCCGCAGAAGGCTGTCTCAGCGGCGCTATCCGTTCCTCTGCACGGCTCCAGGACTCCAGATCCCTCCCCTCATATCCAACTTCTCCCCCATGCCCTGGCCACCAACCGGAGATTGCTAGGCATATTTGCATTATCATCTTTCTCTCCTGAATAATAGCATTCAGGACACCATACGCCATGGCTGAGCCTAAGCCCCGACCCCGCTACACCGCCTGCCTCCGGGCCCCCTTTGCTAGAGGGCGACAAGAAGATCCTAAGGCAGGGCCGAGCTGGAGACCCAGCCGAGGAGCGGCTCCCCCCGCCCCCCGGGCCGGGGGAAGCA